GCCGTAATAAAACGCTTGTGACCAGACATATTCGATCTCGGGCTGTTTGAGCAGTGGGCCGGACGCTGTGGCACATAGAGACACAAGCAGGATAGATGATATGTACCAACCAACGATGGTAATTGGCTGTGCGATGGAAAAGCGTACTCTCTTGGTCATGTTGAGCAAGAGGAAGAAGTTGGCAACGACGGCAATGACAAGCTGGATAGCGTTGATGGCTTCAAGCCAGGGCGGGTCAAGAATGAAGACACCTTTCGTCACGTCCGATCCGGGGGGGATACGTTCTCGCCAGGGCTTAGCGAGAGCACATATGGAAAAAGCTGATGCCACCGGACCCAGAGTGCCCGCGACCATGGGAAAAGCCGCCGAGGCCATCCACCAACGGCTGGTTCGAGTTTGCTTGTTAGCTTTGCATCTCGTTGCACATTCGTTGGATCGGTAACATACGTCTGGTCGAGATGGACATCTTGCCCTTCGGTATGCTCGGCGATGGCTTCATCGAGATTTGCATCTTCCATCTCGCCGGTTTCCAGTCACGATTTTGTATTTCGTCAATGTTGATCGAACCATGAGATGAAGGTGAAAAAGCGAATGTCTAGGATACAAGAGGTGTGGCATGCAATGCAGTTATCAACAACATCGTTCAAGGCGCCTGCTGCCATTTACTTGGTGGCTACTTCATAAAGTGAAGACTACAATCCATGGTTTCTTTTAAGTCAAGAGAAGACGGACAGTAGTAGGAAGGTCCCCTCCTCCGTGGAAGCATGTTATATCATAGTAGCAGGCGGAGAGTGACGCTAAACAATCGGATCTAAGACAAGCGGTGCCAAGATGCCACCTCCAATGACGTCGCTTGGCATACAAGAGTAGAGCTGGTGCCGATCACCTGCGAGCCCTAAGCCCCATTTGGGGGACGATAGCCCCGAAGCCAACCTGTACCGGACCCCTGAAATCTACAGGAGTGTACCCTAAATCCGCAGTTGCAGTGGGTCCTCAGGTACTGTACATACCAAGTCGCCTGACGCGTTGAAGAACTTGAGCTCCACGGTTAGAAGAATGCCATGAGTCTGGACAGAATCCTAGCCCAACTGCGCTCATTCCAGGGAACAACCGGAAACTTGTATTTATATCATTTTTCTTTCTTTTGTATACTATCTGTACATCATAGTCTTGTTTCATAAAAAATAGACGCTGTGGTATGTGTCACTGGCCTCGTGGCATGGGACAATGAGATGGCTTGTCAATAGCATCTCGAGGTCTCCAGTGCGCCCTCTCCAGTTCAGACTTGGAACGAAACCCTTAAGCACCATCGCCTCGGGCCTTCACAATGCGGAGCGGATAATCGTGCCTGTCGGCTCGTCTGGCAGTGTGAAGATAGAGTAAGTTTGCTTATCTGAATTCTATTTCAGCTTTGTGGGGTACATCTTTTCTAACTGTTAGGCAGTCTGCACAATCTGGCAAAGGTCTCATCATCAGAGCCGTTGCTGATCTACCTCCCGCCGTTCTGTACAGCGAATCCTGCGAGCGATTTGTCGCAGTTGCCAAGATTCGCTCAGAGACATGCAACGGCCGTGATTCATTATCGATGGAGAAGCCCCTGGCCCGAGGAAGCGCCGGTAGAGGATGATGCCTCGGATGGCGAAGAGCCGGTCTACCAGCGCTTTCATCCAGGCTGGCCGGTACCAGTTCACGATACTCTGAAGGCCTACACATGGATCATTGAAAACTTGGTCCCTACTACTTCACGTAGCGCACGGCGCGACATATATGTCTATGGCTCGTACCTGGGCGCCTCATTGGCAACCTCGTTAGCCCTAACCGAAGCTCATCCACACGAGCGCATGGCGGTCAGGGGTTGTGTCGCCTACAACGGCATATACAATTGGACTATGTTCTTACCTGATCATCCTATCAACAAGCTGCCCAAGTCGGTATCGCGCAATTTCCTGGAAGACATCCTCACTCTTCCCGGAGATCCCGACTTCCATGAGATGAAGCAAATGGCCAGTGAACTTTTCAACAAACCCGACGACATGTTCGATCCCTTCGCCAGCTCTTGTCTGCTCTTTCACACGCCAGGCTTGCTCGTCCCTCCATCTTTCGACGAGTCGGCGCTCACTCCTCTATCCTCTTTAATCGACATGCCTTGGCTGCCCGAGGAGGCGGTAGAACAGCTGATGCCTCTGAAGCAGCCGAGGAGGAGCCCGCTCGTTTTCCCTCCCCGCAAGTCAACTCTCAAGATCCCCGAAATGCTATTACTACATGACACCGCGCCACCCCTCCCGCCCTCGTTGATGAGGAGACGCCAGAGGCGGAAGAAGGAAAACCACGTAAACAACTTCCGGACCCAGGCAGAGCAGCTCGCAAGTCTCATGCGGAGAAGCATCAATAAGATTGAGCTTAAGGAGCGCATGAAGTGGGATGAAGACATGCAGGACTGCGATGACGAGGCCGACAGGCGAGTTCAAGTACATGATGTGGGCGACAGGAGCGATGAGGTGGCTGCTGCGTGGTTAGGTGATCAAATGCTTAGAAGGCCATCGGAATAATAAATTATCAGGTTCTAGAGGTCTTCTGAAGAGCTGCGGCTTTTCTAATTTCTTGGTAGATATCGCATTCTCAACACCCTTAATGTCGCAAAGTGGTATGCTTTTAATATGCGATGTACCACTCTAATACCTGTCTGTCGGGTATAAGCACGGCAAGTATTAGACTAGATTGTACTCATAGAGCCGCAGGAGTCGCATGCCATTAGCGAATTGTACAGGTAAGCTAGCATTGAATGTCTCTTGATCTGCTATGTATTTTTGTGTCTGTAATCGGATGATATATGTCTTTGAAGCAGCATGCCTATCTCCCGTCCTGGCATCAATCGAGAGATAGCGGGGTTAACGGAGGTAAAGTGGGCTGAAGCGGTGCTGCGTGCCTCGATAGAAAATGGAGCGACCGGGTGGTCCGAGCTCATTCTTGGCCACCCTCGCCTCGACGCCCAGGTGCAGCCAGGTGCCGCCGCCCCCTCTACAACACACATCTCCGGCCGTCACGAAAAATCAAAAACGAATTTACACACTGCAGCCAATTCCCAAATTCACGACATCAACCTCCTCGCTACCAGTCAACCTCAGCGAAAATGGCCGACTCTGTCACCCTCCGTACTCGCAAGTTCCAGCGGAATCCCCTGCTTGCTCGCGTTCGTAACCCCATTTCACTGCTGGTTTTACGTTTGGGGGTTTGGAGATGCTAACATATCTTGGATTGCAGAAGCAGATGGTCGCGTAAGTTCCCTCCCCCGGCATGGCCTCGAAACCAGCGGCGACAGCGTCGGCGATAGCGGCAGCAATCTGCATCCCAAAACCACGAAGCCGCGCTCCCTTAGCATCGACGTCTCTCCTCCTTCGAGCGCAACCTCCTAACATAGCCTTCTCTAGCGACATCATCCACCCCGACCAGGCCGGTATCTCCAAGTCCAACCTCCAGCAAAAGCTCGCCACCCTCTACAAGGCGGCTCCCGAGCAGGTCAGCGTATTCGGCCTCCGCACTGCCTTCGGTGGTGGCAAGACCACTGCCTTCGCCTGCATCTACGACTCAGTTGAGGCCCGCAAGAAGTTCGATGCCAAGCACCGCCTCGTCCGCAACGGCCTAGCCACCAAGCCCGAGCGCGCATCCCGACAGCAGAGTATGTTTCTCATCATTCACTCTCCTGTTATTTTTATTAGACAATTGGCTTACCTATTCCTGACAGGAAAACAACGCAAGAACCGCATGAAGACACTCCGCGGTACCGAAAAGACAAAGGGCAAGAAGGCGAAGAAGGATTCGTAAACGGTTTCATATGGGTCATAACGGTCAGGGAAAGGGAGCGAGACTAGCTACATAGCCAAGTAGTGTTTCGCGACAAAGGCAATGCTATAAACGCATCTTCATTGATACCCGGTATCAGCCAGTCGATCCTGCGGTCCCCTGCAACGGAATCAAAAAGCATTTGTGACGATCTCGTTCCCGACCCTCTACCACCTCCGTTGCTTCTCGATGCACTACGAAACTATCGTCTGGAGAGTTTGTGACAGAAACAGAAGGCAAAGGAATGGTAACAGCCGTTTCAAGGTGATGTGGAAATGGGTTGCACGCAAATTGCATTTGCTTAGCCCATTTAGCAGTCAACCCCCCACCCGCCTTCTATGTCAAAGTTTTTGGGTCACTGAAGTTCGCTTCAAAGCGGCAAACGCGATAGACATCCCATGCCAAGATCGTATAGACAATCATCGTATCCAACCTGATCAGCTGCTAGCATGTCCTTCACATTGAATCCATACCGATTGACTTCTAGAACTATTGCCTTCCCAATAATTCCGGGACAAAATAGGTTCCGTTTTTATTACTAACAGTGTGTATATAACCTCAACAGTATTGCTATATAGCCTTCAAAGTATTGCCAAGCAGGTTTGGAAAGTAGCCTAAGTAAAATTCAACTTCTATCACATCGAGTTTAATTCTATAGTTACAGAACATACGATGGGTTCGAAAGGAGTCCCGGAACATGGAAACATAGGGAGGAGATATAATGGTTCCGCCCTGGCTCTTGTAAATGGACAAAGCCACTTCGGTCGTCCTAGAAGATCACACGACTAAGTCGGCTGGTGGTGCATAAACTGCAATTAGTCTCAAGAATAGATAGCTAAAGAATTCGAATAGACAAACATGTATCACATTTGACACTCGCGTAGAAAATACTTCGGATTCTAGAACACCGTGATACAGTTGGATAGGGGCTAATTCATTCCACAGTATAAAAATATGTCAATGTCATCAAAAATGATGCGGCCCACTACTACATATCTAGCAAGCACATTGGTTTAAAATGTAAAGACAACATAGCCTTCCTATCTATGACAATTTATTTCTTGAATAGCCTTGCTAGGTTGTGAGGCTTGCTTCTAGAATGCGGGTTCCGGTAAATATATGAAAAGGAACCCCAAGGGGCAAAACATCAAACAATTAACGGGCCTCTCCGGGATTCGAACCCGGGGCCTCTCGCATGCTGAGATAGAATAGACCCAAAGCGAGAATCATACCACTAGACCAAGAGGCCAACCGTTTCTGGAAATTTTCGCTAAGACGAGTACTTATATCATTACATTACCGCGCGGCTAGATACAGCAGATAACCAAGGTCGAAACACCTCTAGTAATCATCACGTACCTTCCTTTTTCCTTCTACTCCAAATATAATCAAAGCAGTGCATATATATTTCTTAGTATTAAATAAATATTTACACTTATTATTAAAAGTTAATCTAAAGCAGCAACATGTATTAAACGTTTATATCTTAATGGTTTTTTTATTTTATTAGCAGTTAAAGTGGAAAACGTAAAACATAGGCATTTAAATTACCATTATACAAGCGAGTCTAAGCGTGAGAAAAAACTTAAATTGTTTAAGTAGTCTAGGACGAAGTCTTAAACGCTAATGGCGTCTATAAACGCTGTCCGAAGGACAGCGTCCCTGCTTAACATCTAAGCACATAAAGTAAAATAAAAAAATATAAAAAAAAATTTATATAAATTATTAATCATTATATATCTTTTTTTATAGCTTATTTATACATTATATTTATTAATAAACGTTTATAGTATTAATATTACTTTGTTATATTAAAAGTCTTTAAGGATTTTTTATTAAATAATATTATTTATTTATATATATCTTGTTTTTTTAATACTTAACTAATTAAATAAAAAAATAAAAAAAAAGGAATAAAACAAGCATAAAAACAAGAAAAAAAAAAGAAAAAGAAAAAAAATAGGAGAAATAATGGCTAACGAAAGAATCGAACCCCCGCGCCTAACGATATAGAGTATAATTATTAGGGTATTAATATTAACGCTGTATCGCTAGGCCATACCAACTTAGCCACTGGCCTCCAAGACTAATTTATCTTATATAGCATAGGCACTCTTTGCGTAGGAAGGTACGGGCTAGAATAAGCTCGGGCGCGTGGGCCGATTTCAAGGCACGGGGTTCTAGAGAGGTGGCCGAGAACCTTATTCGCGGCTGCAGCACGAGGGCCGTCGGGATATAGATAAAGGTTTGAAGCAAGTGATGTACCGTAGTCTGGCAGAAACAAGTACAGTATGCAGTGACTCCGCGAGAGTAGCTGTGGCGTAGGTTTGGCCAGTCTACAGTGTGGTAGACGTGTCGGCATCCCTCTTTGGTGAAATACGGCTCTGATAGCTCGTATAATTAGTGTAGATTTGAGGATTCAGATCATTGTGTTAAATAGACTATTAAGGCTAGGTAGAACATAACATCATATCCGCTGCGTTTTCTGGGAAGCCAGAGATACCGGGCCGTTGACTAGGCAAACTAAACAATCTCCCGGGCAGGTGCTCTTATATAGGCAGTATCCTACCTTTCTCTGCTGGACGTGCAGGTTTAGAGATCTTAGAGCTATGGAGTGTAAGAATTCAATGCCCACTAAAAGGGACAATTAGAAAAATATGTAAGAACCGTGGGAGTTGAAAAATGTATACAAATGTCCTAAAAGAGGGAGAAAATGGTTGCGGGTAGGGGCCAGGAGGGAGGTTGGCTCTATTACCCGAGTCAAGGTGGTGGAAGTGCTAAAACAAATATAGAAACGGCAGTCCCAGCCTGGCAACTTAGTATAGAAGATGGTAGGGCGGGACGGGGATAGTAAAGGAAGTCCATGTTTCAATTGTCGCCAGTATTAATTAAACCCATGAGATCTATCGATTTCAATGCTGAGTCTATTGAATATCTAAGCCAATCACGAACGCCTCTAGGCTATTAATATCTAGTCCAATATATCAATCGTCTAAATCCCCCAATGAACCCCTAGGCTCCATTCGTGCCATTTGTGCCACTCTAGGCCGCCTCCTGCCGTTGAGCAATCACATCTAGGCATTCCTTCACCTGCTGGTTGAACACCTTCTCGTACGCGGCACGCATTTCTCTATTCTCGGCGTCGGTATAAGGAATCTCGGACCCTTTCCTGCGCTGACGGCTCTCTGGGATCTCCTCTAAACTCGCGTTTGGATCCTGCCCCGTCTTATCTACGAACTTATAGGACCGGTACTCGGTGTTGTGCCAACCGGTTCCTGCGATGTAGCTTGTTGTCAGTCATTGCAACAAGCGGGTAAGATTGTAGTAGCCAGTGAAGATGTTCCACCCATGTCGTGCATTAGGGGCCATAACTTACCCTTTCCAGGATCAACGCCTAACCAGTCCTCGGTAATGAAGTGCAGGATACCGCCGTGCGTGACAAGGACCACATGCGCGTCGTCACCGGCTTCCTTGGCTAGATCCCGGAGCCACAGTCTCGTGCTACGGGATCTGGCTTCGAGCTTCTTAGCCTCCGGGTAGTACTTCGAGTCGGGCGTTTTCACGTTCCAGTCCTCCGTGACGTATTGGAAGTCGACGAGGTCACCGAACTCCCTTTTTAACTTCTCGACATCGCTACCGACGTCGCAGGGATATAGGGAAACCTCCTGAGCGTCCTGGAGAGCGACTATCTTCTTCCCTCCTTTTACTTCTGGCGCGAAGGAGTATTGGCATGTGAATATGGTCCGACGGATTGGCGAAGCGACCAGGTGGGTGATCTTGTCATGGTAGGGAAAGTTCTTGCAAAGCTCCTCGCATTGCTCCTTGCCCAGATCGGTTAGATCTGGATCTCGTATCCACTGATTCTCGAAATTGAGGTTGTGGTAGCCTTGTGCGTGGCGGACTAGGTGAATAATTGGCGCCATTCCAATGTCGTCTTGAGTTACTGTTTATAGAGGAAAACTGACACCAACAGACTAGAACAGGATTTAATTGAAAGATGACCCGAGCGCGATTGTCTAGTGTTAGTAGCGAAATGGCAATTATGCGCACACGGGGCTGTGTGGTTAAGTCGTAAGTAGAGAGATAAGCTCCAACCTAGGTTTAAATATTCGGCACGGCGTACCTTGGCAATACATACAAGAGCGGCGAAGACGCTCGCCGGAGTGTCCAATTCCACGCCGAGCTGTGGAGACTTGATAGGAGCTAGTTGTTCTTGTTGGTCATATGAGCCCGCAACTAAAGGGTATCGTATCAATCCGACACGGTGACAAGAAACGACACTGTTACCCGGCGGCGAATACGGCGTAGGGATGTCGTGCTGCTAGGCGATCAACCGACTCCATCGTGACTACTGCCAAACGGCAGCGCGGCCGTATCTCTCCCGAATTTGTCGGGGGCGCATCGAATGGGTCTTGCTGCGAATTCTCTTAGCTCATGCCTATGACTCTTCATACCGGACCACCCGATCTCGGTCGGTGGGGTCCGGGTCCGGAGGCTTGCATCGACAAAGTATGTCGGGAAACCTGATTGGGTTACTCCGCCGGCAGGGTAAGCAATTTCTCGCCGGGTCTCGTTTATAATAAGATTAATAAAACAAACATCAGCCGACACGTGGCGAAGAACTCAATGGCCATACGGCAACACCTGACAGCTTGTTGAAGGTATAGATTGATGTGCACTCAATTGCAGCTAAGTCTGAAACCGAGTCTGTGCGAAGAGATGAGTGACGGCCGAATATTGGTGGTCTCAGGCATGGATCGGTTTCGTGATATTGCTCAAACGCCTTGTAAATTAAACAATGAGGTAGCGGTGCCTTTGGCTTCTGCTGACTTTTTCGTTTGGATCTACAACTCTAAGCCGTGTCTCAGGGGATCGATGTTGGAACCTGGGCGTTTTTGGGTGCTCGAGATTCAACTATACACCGTCGTCAAAGTCACGACATCTTCGACATTAGGAGCTATGGTTTTGGAACACCTAATCGGAGTATGAAAGCCTAGCGTAACAGTAGTGAAATGGCTATTACTGTATAGCAGCAGAAGCGAATGTCAATATCGGAAATGGACTCCCGCGAGTTTAAATAATGTGTCGCCTGCCAGGAAATTTGGGCCTTACGCGTCTTACCGTACTTCGGTTACGTACTGTAACGGCAGTATCACCTGACCCCAGTAATACATGTCGTCAATAAGTAGGTAGTGTGCGGTGACGAGTTACGCGTCGTTCGCAATGATATGTACACCCACATGTAGAACCATGGCGCTAGGCTTGTCCCTCTGAATCCCTCTTGCCTTGTCGTTCCCTAGTGACATCTGGCTAGGTTGTATGTACCACGCTGGCGGAGTTACTTCGGTAATGTGTGTCCCAAGATACTGCTTGCTCCTTGTGTTTGGTGCTCCTTTTTTTCTTGTTTTCCCTAGGCAAGTAGAGGCCCTTCTTGGCTGTCAGGGGCTGGTAAGGAGGGCCCAAGCGTCTTGCATATGGGCGTATGCGGGCGCTAAAATACCCCATCTCCAAATATTGGCTGGGGTTTGGGGTCCCTGGAATACCTACTTGGCTAGCTCTTTCTCCTACGCATGGACGGCGCGTATCCACCTTCGAGCAATACCATTTCCCCAGTTCCACTCTTCTACTCTTCAAGCTTCATCACCACACATCCTGCTATCTTGTCCACAGACAATAACAGCTTGCATCACTAGTAGACTCTTGTCTTGTTCCTTTACGAACTTCATCCCTCGCCGGGAAATATCTTTCGTGAACCCTCCCAAGCGGATTGATCATTGATCACAATTGACACAATGGGTGGGATTCGTGAAGCTCCCATTTCCTGCACCCCATTCTTAGCCCCTTCCTAAGCTTCCCTCTTCCGCTACGATCGTGACCAGACGATCTTTACAATCGCATTTGTGATTGTCGCCATGGTGGACGCATCTTTTCGCCCTCTCACTTGGTGTGGCTCGACCAGATGGCGGGTCCTCGTCCATTCGCTCCGTTAGTACCTTGTACCACGAATGCATGCTAACCTCCTCGTTTTGTACAGCGCCGAACGCACTTACCAACCTGAAGGCGAAGTTCAAGGCCGTCTTCAAGAAGAAAGACAAGAAAGCGAAGGAGGGCGAATCAACTGGCGGAGCCACCGAGGCGGCCAAAGTGGACACCCCAGCTGGTGAGTGGAATGTAGAACCCATAAATTTTTGATACAGATCTTTTGAGTTCCATGCCGCAAAACTAGCACAGAACCCGAAAGATGCTGAT